ACCTACCTAAGTCTTGGCAACCCTACACCTACACCTACCCATGACTTAGTAACCCAACCCTACCCTACACCAGGCCCGTGCGACCCAACCCTACACCTACCCAAGGCCCGTGCGACCCTAACCCAACCCTACACAACCCGCGGGTAGGGGGTACCTATCTAGTTTAATAAGTATAGATATAAGATTAGAGACTAGAGGAAAATATATATAGAGATTGNGAATTATCACATTCTTTAATCACGGTAGCGTAATGGACGAAGGCGCTTCCGTAGGGGTAGCGGAATATCTACATCTACTGGACTACTNAGCAAGTCGCCACCTTGACCAACTAGATCTATCTCCTCGCTCTCTGTCTCCTCTACAGCTACGGGGAGACTAAAAAGATCGCAAATCTCATCGTTAAACTGATCCTCAAGGGGAGGATTATAACCTTGCTGATCTAGCTTATCAGCAATACTATGCTTAACAACTAGTATCTGACGGATTATTTGGGCGTTAAGACGATGTCTCTGATCCCCAATAGTATCCTTTGCAATATTAAAAACTCGCTCTACACCAACCTGAGCGATAGGCACAGTAAGGATATCCTTAGCAACCTTAGCGAGGTAAGGGTAGGTTAATGAGTTAATACTCCACTATTTTAAAAGATTAAACCCGTCTTCTTCCCTTACACATGGAGCACTTAGATATAATTCACCCTCTTGATAGGTTAGTCCTCTCTCTTAATCTATTTCCTGGGTTTGGGAGCTTTGGGTAGAACTAGATAAGCTACTAGACTATAATTGTAGAGTAGAGGGTTTGCGGAACTACTCAGAGCCTTGCGACCTCCGTGGATAGGAGCCTATTGATGATTATCGGCGCTCTTGGCTATCATAGCGGCTAAGATAGTTAAGAAATTGTTCTCGGTATATGTGCTTGTCGTTACGGTCCTAGGTGTCGTCCTAGGTATAATATTAACACTTTACTGTGATAATAAACTGTGATAAACATACCTTATATGCAGTCAGCTTTTGCGTAGGGTCTAGGATACTCGCGCAGTTGAAAAGGTATCCCCGTTCCTTATCAGTCTTCGAGTAGTATTTACTTAGTTTAGCTCGGCCTTTGTTAGCTGCAGCTCGAACTATACTTAGCCAATTAATATCTTCTTAATTCTCTATTTCATCGCCAAGACCTATAGTCATTTGATCTAGAAAATCAAAAAGTCTATTATACATCAGCCAGATATGTTGGATCTGAGGTTTTTTCTCACTTAGATAGCTTGTAGCTGTTTTAAAGTGACGGAGCATTTCAGTAAGCATTTCTAAGTGGTGCTATTNAGCTGAACTTAGTTGGAGTCGTTTTAGGTCGCGAAAATCAACTTCAGCCCTATTTGGAATACTCTGTGGATGGAATGTAGCTCGCTGCGCGATCTCTTGTTTTAACCAAT